CTCCTCTCGGTGCTCTCCATCTTGTCTTTCTTCAAATGCAGTGTTCAGCCCTGAACCTAATCGTACAGATGTGATCTGACCAAGGCAAACCAGGTGTTTTCTGTATATAATGTCTCTCAATGCAGTCTAAGGTGGTATAAGCTTTTTGAATGGCATCTCCCACAGACAATCTATTGAGCTTGTACTCTGCCAAAAAACCTTCTCTGTAAATTGAGGGGACTGTCATGCTGGCATGCAATTTGGAATTTAAAAAAAATTTAACTAAAATGTCCATACCCTTTGAGATCCCACTGCTAAACCTGTACCCCCAAAGAGGTCAGTGAATGAATGAATGAAGTATTTTTTAAGGGCTTACTATGTGCAAAGCACTGAGCTAACTACTGGGGATACTAATAAAAAAGCAAGAAAGTCCCTGTTCTCAAGGGGCTCACATTCTAATGGGGGAGACAATACATATGGTAGCTTTCAGCTGCAGGTCAGATGGAAAAAGTTCCATGGGCTTAAATGCAATTTAATTCAGTAAACATTTATTAAGAGCCTACTATCTTTTAGACATAGTGCTAAGCACTGGGGATAAAAAAAAAAAGAGGTGGAAGTCAGTTCCTGCCCTCAAGGAGCTTACAATCTAATACAAACAAATATACACAAAGCAAACTATATACAGGATAAATGGGAAATAATTAAGAGAGAAGGCAATGGAATTAAGAAAGGTTGGGGAAGGCTTCCTGGAAGGAGGATTTCAGTTGGAACTTAAAGGAAGCCAGGGAAATCACTAGGCACAGTGGAAGAGGGGGAGCATTTCAGGTAAGAAGGACAGCCAGAGAAAATGCCCAGAGCTGAAAGATGGAGTGTCTTGTTTGTGAAACAGCCTGGAGGCCAGTCACTGGACCAAAGAGTAGGTGTGGAGGACTAAGGCAAGGGTGAAGAACTTGTAGGCTCAAGGCTACCTGTGGCCTCCCTTAATAAAAGGATTTGTTTGGTAAAACTCAGTCAAAAGGCTGCACCCAAGGACCTAGAAGGCCACTTATGGCCTCAAGGCTACAGGTTCCCCACCCCAGCTCTAGTGCCTTCCCTCTATTGATTATCCCCACCCCTGAATTAAGGTATAAGAACCAGGAAAGGTAGGAGGGATCTAGGTTATAAAGGGCTTTGAATGTCAAACATAGTGTTTTGTTTTTGCTCCTGGAGGCAATATGAGGCCACCTGGGAGTATATTGAGTAGGAAGGTGACTAGATCAAACTTGAGTTTTAGGCAAATCTTTAGTGGCTGAATGGTCTTTGGGTTGTAGCAGCACAGCAAAGGGTAAGCCCTCTGTCTTAATGTCATTTCCATTGATCAGATCGGATCAGTTTCTGATGCTGAATCATTTGACAGTGCCAAGGGCTTTGGTGAAGAAATCTTTCTTTCTTTCTTTTTTCTTTTCTTTTCTTATTTTTTGGCCAGGCAATGGGGTTAAGTGACTTGCCCAGAGTCACACAGCTAGTAAGCATTATGTGTCTGAGGCCAAATTTGAACTCAGGTCCGCCTGAATCCAGGGCCGGTGCTCTATACACTGCGCCACCTCGCTGCCCCAAGAAATCTTTCTTTTCTGGGTCCTTAGTAGCTGTGACCAGGCTGCATCTCCACAGGAGTTGCTTCCCAAGATGATGTCTAAGGACACTGGGCTAGAGATATTGGTATTTCCAATGTATCTTGGGTTCAAGAACACAAGTCCCCATCTGGATCTAAAGAGAGGTGGTGTTCAAGGTGGTGGCAGTGGTTTGATTTGTCTGGCACATGGGGTATTTCCCTGAGGTTGTTTCCCTGATGCTTCCCCAGTGGCAGAAGAAAAGATCACATATGAGCTAAAATATTCATAGTGGCACTTTTTGTAGTATCTTTTGTAGTATCAAGGAGCTAGAAACAAGACAGATACCCATTTAGGGAGGAACAAATAAGCAGAGTGCCAGCAAAAACAGGGTTTTTTTCCTCCTTTTTTTAGATCCCCAGCATTTAGCAGAGTAGATACTTTATAGGTGCACATACTTAATAAATATTTATTGAATGACTGTAAAGGAGCGGAACGGGGGAAAACCCCACAAAATTGGACACTATACTTACAATGACCAAATATGGCCCTGGGAAAGAGATGAGAAAATGAACCTCCCTCACTTATCTGCAGAGGTGAGGTACAATTGGAGTACAATATTTAATATACTGTTAGACTGGGCTGAAGTGACTTTTAGTTTTTCTGAACTGCTTTTTTCCCTCCTGCTTTATTCTTTGTTATGAGAGTTGGCTTATGGATGGTCAGGGGAAAGGAAAATATATATATATATATTTATGTTAATTGTAGTTGATGTAAAAAGAAAAGATATCAGTGGAAGTTAAAAATTTGGAAAAAGGAAATAAAGAATAACCTTTTTTTAATCTTTTTTTTATTATTTGTTTTTTATTTATTTTTAGTTTCCAACATTCACTTCCACAAAATTTTGAGTTCCAAATTTTCTCCCCATCTCAGCCCTCCCTCCACCCCAAGACAGCATGCATTTTGTATACCTCTTCCCCTAATCTGCCCTCCCTTCTATCTCACCCCCCCTTCTCTTATCCCCTTCCCCTTTTATTTTCCTGTAGGGCAGGATAGATTTCTATACCCCATTTCCTGTATTTCTTATTTCCCAGTTGCATGTGAAAACAATTTTTTTTAAACATGTGTTTTTAAAACTTTGGGTTCCAAATTTTCTCCCTTCCTCCCTTTTCACTCACCCTCATTGAAAAAGCAAGCAACTCGATACAGGGAACAACCTTTTTTTTTAAGTGAGGAATTATAGCTGGGCATGGTATCACGTACCCATAGTTCCTGCTGCTGGGGAGGCTAAAGCTGGTGGACCACTTGAATTCCAGTTCTAAGCTGCATTGGGGTAATGTTCAGCATCAACATGGTGAACCCTCAGAGGAAAGGTCTCCCATGTCAGAACTTAAAGCTTCTATGCCGATTAGTGATAAGAACTGGGCCAGTGAGTGGCCACTAGACTTCCAGCCTAGGCTGGATAGGAATATTTGGGGTCAAAACAAAACCAAAAAATAAACAAAAGGAGAAATCTCACTCGAAGATGCCTTATAGGTTCCATCCAGCTCTAAATCTTCCATTCTATGATCTCATGTTTTTCTCATGATTAAGACTAAAATTGACAAGGGGTAGAATGAGACCTAGCTATACTTTTGGGGTCAGGCCAACCCAGGAATTTGTTTTGTTTGACTATTAGTATTTGTTACAAGGGTTTTGAGGAGAGAAAATAAACTTTGGTTAATTGAAAAACTATTTTTAAAAAAGCTCTAACCAAATTCAGCATTACAGTTTAGACGAAAACAATCTGAAATTGGAGAAAGGAGGCATTTAGGATTAGTAGATGAGGGTGAGGGGTGAACAAAACATCCATTCTGATGATGTAACATTGTTTAGGGAAGCTAGGGAGCAAGATCATCACCTAGATTTTCTGGCTGATACTAATGGTAGTGGGGCTGGAGTGAGGGACTGGGGGAGGTGGAAAGATTTCACATACGATGATCCCACCACTCATCACCCTGTCTGTTTCCCTCTGTATCTGCCTCAGCCTCTAGTGACACAGTGACACTGGGGGAAAGAAGGATCCCTAAGGAGAAAAGTAGGGGCAGAGAAGGTATAGAGAGAAGAACCTAGAGGCTTTGTTCTAAGAAGAGGACAGATTGGCGTCTTGCAGAAGCTAGCTCTGGACAGGTTTAGGGGAAAAAGGGGGAGGGAATTACCCATGGGTGTCCTTGCTGAGGGATAGGTGAACCACATGCAAATACAAAAGCTGCTTCAATGAGAGGGTGTGGACAGCAGTGAGAGATAAGCAGAAATCTAGGAATTAAAATCGGTCTGGGACTGTGGGGGGGGGGGAGAGAAGGAGAGTTCAGGAATCTCAGAAGCTTAGGTGGACCACCCTGATCCAGTGGGGGGGGGGGGTGGGGCAGAGGTTAGAACTATCCCTAAGGGGCAGGTCCTTCATCCAGCATCTTGGACTGGCTCTCTCCCATTTTCTTCACCCACCAACCAAAAGAAACACTGCCAACTAGTTCCACAAAGTGGGGAGGGCTCAAAGGTACCATGGATTTCTAGCATCCACCATATATGAACTCTTTGGGGCATTGTGAAGTCATCCAATCTCCCCCTCCTCAGGCCTCCTTTACTACTTCCCTGCAGCCTAAGGCACTCTCTCATACAGAAACATTTCTGCCCTGTCTTGAAAACCTGTCTTTTGTCCAGTAACATTCTTATTCCCAGCCTATTAAATGGAGGAGGAGGCTGCTAAGTAGGAGACCTAAGATATAGAGTCCCTAAGGGTTTGAAACTAGGGGGTTGAAACGCTGAAGTTACCTAAAGGAGTTGGGGCAGGGACACCAGGTCCCCTGAGGGCAGAGGGGCCTGGGATGCCTGAATCTGCATACTGTTCCTGCTCTGGACCAGCATAGGCTAGTTACTTGTTTAATGGAGTGGAGACGTCTAGGAATGCAACTAGGAGACCAAGGAGGAGGGAACAAAAAGTAGTTGCTTCCTCTCTCTCTCTTTTTCCCCACCCCTTTTTCTCCACCACCCTCTCACACCCTCTGCTATCCTCCTAGTAGAGTTTAAAAAAAAAAGTAACAAGAAACCACTTAGATTGACAAAATCTTAGCAGTTGAAGAGGACTTGGCAGGTCACCCACCCAGTCCAACCCATACCTGAACCAGAATTCACTGTACAACATCTCCAACAAGTCAGTCAGCCTCTGCTGGAAGACTTCCAGTGATAGAAAATTCTCTACCCATCTCAAAGATATGGCCTTATCTTGGATTCTAAGGTTCTTTCCCTCCTTTCCCACAAAAAAAACCTGATAGAATGGAGCCTGAGTCCCAGAAGGCTGGAGGAGCCCAGCTTCCAGGTCTAGGAAGGATGGAGCGGAGTGAGGGAAGGGTTATAGCATCACAGAAATTTAGATCAAGAAGAGACCATAGAGACTGTCATTTAGCATACCACCTTTTTTATTTTTTTTTTAAACTGATGACTTCCTTGAGGTCATACGGGTAGTAAACAGTAGAGCTGGGATTTAATTTCAGGATCTGTGGCTCGAAATACTATGTTCTTTTTTCACCATTCATGTTGGGGCCTTTGGGGTGGAGGATGGAGAAGGAGAGATGGGTGGTGTTTGATGAGTTGCAAGCAGAAGGAGGCAATCTAAGGGGCTCTTTTCAAGGAAGTTTAATGAGGTGTGTTAGTACTGTTGTTCAGACTCCGTGGACAGCTGTGAGTCCAGATGTTCTTGCTTCGGCTCAGAGCCTGATCCACGTCCAGCTCCTTGCCCTGTACCCGAAGCCCATTCAGACAGAAAGAGACAGAAGAGGCCTCTCCTAGATGAGGATGGAGGTGGGATGTCAAGTCTGAGAAAAGAAACTTCTATCCCGTTGCCTATTCTGTTTCCAGATGTTTTCTCCACCTTTTCCTCCCATATTAACCAGTAGGTACCTAAATAGTCCCTCTTCCTGTGGCCTTCTCCCCTTTTCCCCCCATACAGGTACCCCACCCCTCAAAATTTTTATTTTAGATATTCATGTTCTTCTAAGTTCCTAAGATGTTTCCCACGGTCCTCATCATTGTTTCTCTTCTGCTTCCAGACAGACAAACCTTTCAGTGCCCAGGTATGTATGTATAGGGGGCAGAGACAGTAGAAGGAAATTAGGAAAGTTTCCACTGTACCTGGTGCCGCTCCCAGGATGAGGCTCCCCTTAGCTTGGGTCCAGAGGTCTAGAAGAGAGATTAGGAGTACAGGGGGCAAAATGAGGGCCACTTCCTGTGGCCCCTGACTCAGTGTTACCCTGGTCAAGCCCAGCTCAAGTTGAAGCAGATGCCCTGGGCTCAGAGGCAATGACTTAGAAAGCACCTTCAGCTCCTGTGGTAACCTGGCAGAAAGTACCAATATCTGATAGAGAGAAAGACAGAGACAGAGAAGAAAGTGAGAGGAGAGAGAAAAGAGAGAGCCACGTCCACTGTCTGAGTACTACCCTTCATGTCCTCCCTAGTTCTTCTCTGCCATCCAAGCCATATCCACTCCCTGGGTGCAGCCTTAGAAAGAGGTGTACTATAGTTTCCTAATTATAGAATTGTAAAATTTCAGAAGTAGAAGGAACCTTAGTGATTATCTTATCCAAACCCTCATATTATGGAAGAGGAAACTAAGGTTCAGAGATGTCCGAAACCATACAGGAAATTAGTGGCAGAGCTAGTACTAGAAAAGCTACATCTCTTTTTTTGGGGGGGAGGGGGAATTGGGGTTAAGTGACTTGCCCAGAGTCACAGAGCTAGTGAGTGTTATGTGTCTGAGGTCAAATTTGAACTCAGGTCCTCCTGACTCCACACCCGGCACTCTATCCACTGCACCACCTACCTGCCTCAAGCTACATGGTTTTACTCCCAGTTCTCTGAACTTTTCACTATACAACACAGCCTGGTGACCCCACCCACTCCTCAGGCCCTGCCCCAAGGCCTTATCTCTCTCAATTGGTCTTGAAGGTCAAGGCTGAGCAGGGATTGATTGCCCAGGATACCGAGGGCAAGGAGGCATCCTGAGCCCCTGAAAAACTGAAGTCTGAGCTCCAAGGAGAAGGCCCAGGGGTCCACATCTGGCTGGGGGAGGTCTGGGGAAAGAAATGAAAAGGCTGAGGCTGTAAGAGCAAGGGCATAGGGTCATGCTGGGAGAAAGAGAGAGAGGGGAAGGGAGAGAAAGTAAGAGAAACAGGTAAATGAATAGAAACAGGAAGAGAGGAAAAGGCAAGTGAAATGATGCATACAGAAGGCTATGGAGAAATAGATCTAGAGACTTTATGAGGTGAATTTACCTTGGAGGCTGAACGCTGTGTGGCACCTTGGGGTAAGAAGGTGCCTGGCTGGGCCTCAGGGTTGCAAGCCCCCTGAGGTTGGTGGCTGAAGGGTGCAGTGTTGCCAGGCTGATTCAGCCAGATGTGTCGTCGGAGACAACCATCCAGGGCAGGAATCAGCTGAGAGGTGGAAGTGTGGATTCATCATAGGATCTAGAAATAGGCATGTGTCCCCCCCTCCAGGCTATGGGTCTCTCCAGTTTTTCATCCCCTCACAGACAAGTACATTATCTGTAAGGGGATGAAGTCCTCTCAATACCCCCAATCCCCTTTCTATGTCCCCTTCACCTAATTTCCCTCTTTAAGAATTCAAGTATTCCACCTCCTAGATAATGCCTCTCTAAACCTCCCAGATGATGCTCCTCTATTACCGGGAGATGAAGGTCAGTGGGGGGGAAGAGCAAGCTCCCCACAGCAATCCTCATTGTGGGCACAGCAGTCCCAACCAGGGGCCTAGAGACTTGACTTAGCCTCAGCACCTCATCCCCATCCACCTCCAGGAGCACAGAATCCTCCTGATTCTTGACTTTCACCTGCATGGAAAAGATAGAAGGAAGCATCAGAGCTATGTACCACAGCCTTACACATACACATGTATTCTCTACTCCCCATCCCTCATCTATACTCATTCATGTATTTACTCAACACTTTATTCATTCATAAAAACATTTACCTGGTGCCAGCATCCATCATCTAGTCGGGGCCCAGCTCCCACGGTGAGCTGGGCCCAAAAGTTGTGGATCTGTATCTCAAGCCGACCACCCCGAAGTCCTAGCATAAACCAGTCATCTTTGGGATTTGTATCCCCATAAAAAATCACTCCTTCTGGGTTCCAGGTCCGAAGGTCAAAGGAGGAGATGGCTCTGAAGGGAGGCAGAAGTTGTTGAACTATATTTGTGTATGTGTAGAAATGTTTGTGTATATGTGTGTGTGAAGGACAGATTGCAGAGTAGAGAGAGAGGGTTCAAAATGAGAAAAAGAGTGGGTGAAGTAGAGAAGAGGGAAGGGAGAGGGAGAGGCCAGGTAAAGAAAAAGACAGGATTTATGAAGAGGAGGGAAGTGGGAGTCCAAGATTCCTCATTTACCTAGTGACCTTGGTGAGGTCGAAAGTTATGATGAGGACAGGCTCTTGCCCGGTACCATTACCGAGGTAGAGAACAGCAGGATCCGCGGAGATCTGTGGAGGAAAAGCCAGAAAAGGCCAGGAGCTGTTTCCATTCTGCCTTTGTGCCCCCAGGCCCTAGGCTAGGGTTTGCAAAGGAGCATATGCTTCACCACCAATGCTTGTGGATTGATATGGAAAGATAATATCTGGGAAAGAGAGAGACCGAAACACAAGCAGAACTCCAGAATTCTTATCTTCCTGCCCAATCCCACCCAGCCACCCCAGCCCCCACTGGACCCTGCCTCCCACAGAACCCTACCCTCACCCAAATCACACACCTTTGTGGGAAATGGTGGTTTAGAAGCCAGTCCCTCCCAAGTCTCAGGTGGCCACAGCAACAGCAGCAGCAGAGTTAGTGAGCACAGACCCTCCATTGTGGGGCAGCTCTCTCTGTTCTGTGATTCTGAGAACTCTGGGGAGGCAGCTGAGAGGCGGGCACCCTTGCTGGGCATGGAAGGTAGGGGGTTAAAGGTTGCCCTGGGGGGAAGGGAGGGTAGGAAACAGGGGCACTGACCCTCCGGGCCCTCTGAGGACAAATGAAGTGAGGGACAATCCATGGGGCCCTCTTCCTAGATTCCCCATCTCTCTTAAACATTTATTAAGCGCCTACTATGTGCAATGCAATATACTATGTGATAGGAATCCCAACATAAAAACAAAAAACCAGGTCACCCCAATCCCTTTGACAAGTCCCATTTGGAACTCTGTCCAAACTGTCCACTACAGTAGTTCCCCCTCCCTTTCTAATCTAAGAAGGAAATCTGCCTTTAGGCGCTCCTTCCTTTAAGTTAACCCTTTGTATTCTAGATCTACCTTCCTTAACCCTCCATCCTCCATCAGATTGCATCTTGTCCCTGGTTGGGCTGGAATTATTCCACTGTAACCTTCATAAGATTTTAGGTTTAGAGAAAAAAGACTTAAGATTAGTAATACAATTTTAAACTTGCTCCCCAACATTGCTTTCCAGAGCTGTAGTTATAGTGACTAGGCTCAGATACAGGTTACTTCTCTCTAAAACCAGTATTCTTGCTACCAAGACATGCTCCTTCCTCTGTATCTTCCCATAGTGTCTACAGGACCTACTTCCATGCCTCAGTGCCTGAAATCCTGCAAGCACAGCTTCATGGCCTTGCTCTTGCCAAGGAATACGCTTTTAAAATTGAAAGACTCTGGGGTTGATTAATGAAGTCACTAATATTTTAACATGAATTTCTTTATCTTTCAGGTTTGTCTCAGGGGCAGGCAGAATTTGGTGAGACAGGATTATAGACAGAGCCATATTATCAAATTATAGATTGAACTAGAAGGAAACTTTGGGATCAGGCTGTCCACCTCCCACATTTCATGGATCAGGAAACTGAGGTCTGGAAGTATATATGTAGGAGTGATAGACAAAAACTAAGTGACTTTCTCAAGGTCACAAAGTAAGTGATACATTTAGGATTTGACCAAAAAGAGGAAAAGGCACAACAAAAGTAAGAGTTGAGAAACCTTTGCTTAGCGATTTATACTTGTACTTCATGGGGTCATAAGTCATCTCACTGAAAGGAAGGCCAAGAGATTTAAGGTGGAGGACATCTCTCTTGGGGACTCAGTTTTCATCTCTGTAAAATTAGGGGGTTAGGTGATGTCTTAAGACTGATAGCTCTGATAGCCGGAGCCTGTCCTCAGATCCAGCCAAAAGACAGGCAAGCTACCTTCGGTAGGTAGGACTTAGTGGTGGGGAGGGAGCCCATACACCCCTCAAAGCATTCTATTAGGTTAGCTGGTGCTGCCTGCAAAGAGAGGGAAGAGGAGGAAGAAGGAAGGGAGGCAGCCTTCGAGGAAGGGGAGTGGTTTTATGAAGAGGGGTCGTTTTATGGGGAGCCTGTGGTAGCTAATCTGCCCTCTCCCCACCTCCTTTCTCCCCCAGCCCCAGTTTCTAGATTGTCTGCCAGCCCTAGGCTTCCAATTGCTTTCCATTCCTTTTGGGGACCCACAGGGTCTGAAGTCCCAGTTTCAGGAGGTCCTTAACTTGAGGTCCCAGAATGTAGATAAGATTTCAGGGGTTACTCAGCCAATGGACAAGCATTTATTTATTTATTTGCTTGTTTATTGGCTTACTTATTTGTTTGTTTGTTTATTTATTTATTTTCTGAGGCAATCTGGGTTAAGTAACTTGCCCAGAGTCACACAGCTAGTAAGTGTCAAGTGTTTGAGGCCACATTTGAACTCAGGTCCTCCTGACTCCAAAGCCAGAACTCTATCCACTGCACCACCTAGCTGCATTTATTAAGTGCCTACTATGTGTCAGGCACTGTGCTAAGTGCTTTACAATTATCCCATTTGATCCTCATAACCATCCTGGGAGATAGGTACTATTATTATCCCCATTTTATTGATTAGGAAACTGAGGCACACAGAGGTTAAGTTACTTGCTCGGGGTCACACAGCTAGTAAATGCCTGAGTCCACATTTGAACTCGGATTTTCCTTTCTCCAGGGCCAATACTCTATTCACTGCAGAAAGTGGGACTTTAGCTGAGACTTGGGGATGGGAATTCATTAATTTTTAATAGTTTGATAATTACATGTCAGTATAATTGGTTTCCTTTGTAATCCCGTGCAAGTCATTCTGTATATTTAAAAACACTGTTCAGAGAAGGGGCCCATAGCTTCGTCAGGCTGCCAGGGGGTCCAGGCCACTGAAATGAAAAGGTCAGGACCCCCGACTTGAAACAGTCCCACAGTCCTCTCGGAGCGGCCGAGAGAGGTGCAGCCGGACTTGTCCTTCCTGCCGGGAGGAGGGGCCGAGGCCCTCCTAGGCTGCAGCTGGACAGCAATGGCGGTAGCGGTGCAGATCCGGGAAGCCAAGGAAGCAGACTGTGGGGAAATCATGAAGATGATTCGGGTGAAAGCTGCGGGGAGGCCAGGCTAGGGGCTGAGGCCTGAGTCCCTGGGGAAGGGAGGGAAGGAGAGAGGGATGGATTCGGGGGAACCATTGATTCCTTGGGTCCGGGAGGGAAGGAGGTCAGTGGGAGCAGCTCAGACTGCCAGCACCTCCTATGGTCCCCTGGAGTCAAGACAATTCGAGGAGCGCTTGAAAAAAAAAACAAACTTTAACCTGGGGCTTTGAATTCCAGTGGTTCAAGTCCTGAATATATTTTTCATTTTATTTTTCAATAAAATCAATTAAATATTACCATGAGTAATAATAACAATAACTAACATTTGTATAGAGTTTACTGTGTGCCAGATACTTCACAAATATTATTTCATTTGATCCTCATAACAACCTTAGAGATAGGTACTATTATCCCTATTTTACAGGTCAGGAAACTGGAGCAAACAGGGTTATGTGACTTTTTTTGGGGTCACACTGCTACCAAGTGTCTGAGGTCAGATTTGAATTCAGGTGTTCTCACTTCAGGTGTTGCACCAAAGTATTTGTTTTCATTCTCCCCTTTCCTCCACATCCCTCCTCCACCATTTAAAGAAAAACAAAACCTTTGTAACTAATGTGTAACCTTTGTAACTAAGTCAGGCAAAACAAATCCCTGTATTGTCTGTGTCCAAAGTTCCACAAGTACCTACTATGTGCAGTATGCTAAATGTGGCTGCTACCAAGGCAAATGGGGAAAAAAAGTCCCAGGTCGCAAGAAGCTTACTTTGTACTTCAGCCATGATGACTCTTCTGATCTTGTAATTTAGTTCTCATATATTGTCCCTCTTCCTTCTATGTATTCACAGGAATTAGCAGAATTTGAGAAACTCTCAGATCAAGTGAAGATCAGCGAAGAAGGTGGGACTCTGAGGCTTGAGACCCTGAAAGGGGGTGAGGGGAGTTGATAGGCCTGGGAGACAAGGAACCTTGGATCCCTTCTTTATTTTCCCCTAGTCACCCAATGGGTAGATCATTTTTTTCTGTCTCTATATAATTATATCTCTTATCTCTCTCTGCAGTCCTGAAAACTGATGGCTTTGGTGAAAATCCTTTCTATCACTGTCTGGTGGCTGAGATTCCTCCAGAGCACAGGGATCCCCTGGGTAAGAGCTGCTATAGTAACAGATCCTCCACAGCATCTTGGAGCTGTGGAGTCACGATGTCCTGCCTCTGACACAGTCTACGGTCTGTCACTCTGGCCGAGTCACTTAAGTCTCAGGGCTCTAGGCGCCTCTAAGACTAAATTTCAAAATAGTAGCCAATCTTCATGAGTAGAAAGAGTTTCTTCCCCTCTCCCCTTCCCCCCAAAAAATAATAGCTAGTATTTATATAATGCTTATGACTTGCAGACTGTTTTCTGAAAGTCGTTACATTATTATCTCTATTTTACAAATGAGGAACATTGGCAGAGTCAGGATTCACAGTAAAGTTTTCCCAGTTCAAAACTATCACTCCATTCATTATTCTACATACAGCTGTTGGCACTCATATGTTGAGTGTTGTGCACACACACACACACACACACACACACACACACACACACCCCTTTCCTTTTTTTCTGACTCCTTACTAGTATTCTGTCTAGAGGGATGGAGAGGCCTCTGGCTCTCCTAGCCTCCCAATGATCTGCCCTCTCTTGACCTCTCAGGTTCTACTCTTGCGGGCTATGGACTCTACTATTTCACCTACAGCACGTGGACAGGACGAAATGTGTACCTGGAAGATATCTATGTGATGCCAAAATATCAGGGTACAAGGTTGAATTACAGGCATTCCACTACCTTCCAAACATGAAGTTTTTCCCCTTTTGTTATTATTGTCCCTTCTAGTTAGGTGTCTATGCTCCTCTAGCTAGGTGTCTATATTCCTCTCCCATTAATGCTTTTCTCCTCACAATAGGTCAGGGGATTGGTTCCAAGATTATCAAGAAAGTGGCTGAGGTGAGGAAGTCTACCTATGGATGGTTTGGGGCGGGGGGGGGTTAGTTGCTTGTATTTCTGAGTATAAGGGGCACTGGGGAGGTGAGAGGGGGTCTGAGAACTGGATATCTGGGCCTTTCTCCTTCTAACCACTGGTTATATATGGGGGGACCTTCCTGCAGGCTGCCCTAGAGAGAGGCTGCTCCCAATTACGTTTGGCTGTCCTCGACAACAACAGAAGTGCCATCGAATTCTACAAGGCCAGGGGGGCCAAAGACCTCACTGTAGCAGAAGGCTGGCATTTCTTTCATTTTGACAATGAGGCAGTGAGAGAGATGGTGAGGAAGTGAGATGTGCTGGTTCCTTTAGAATCCAGGGGTTTCCTTTAGATCCCCTTTTCCCCTCAGCTCTTATTAATAATACCCTCAGGTACATTGGAGTCCTTCCTATGGTCACCTACTTCAAGGGAGGGAAAAATGGTTGGGAGTTTAAAATGTGCTAAAGTAATAAAATAAAATATCACAAAAGGAAGAAGTGTTTCTCCCTCTCCATTCAGAGGTAACAATACTTGAGAGTCACTGGACCTGTGTCTATAATAACATTCTTTATGGTGAAAGTTGCTGAAGAGGAATGGTCTTCTAGTGTTTGCTGTGAGAAGTGGAAGGGTGGGGGCAACAGGAGGGAAGTTGGTTTAGTTAATTTAGAGTTAATTTAGACAGAGACTTGCGTGGGCCAATTAGCATTATTCTGCTTATAGTGAAAAGGGTAAGGCCAAGATGTCCTCCCTAATGAAATTTTAGGGGAAAAGAAAAACTTGCAAATTTTTTTGGGGAAAAAAAAAAGACCTGAGACACTGGAAGGCCTGGCCTGTGAATTCAATATTTATTGCTCCTCTGTGTTCAGCATTGGGGATAAAAGGATGATTTTTAAAGTTTAAAGTACGTATTGAAGAAAAGGGGTTGGAAGGAAGGAAACTGTCAATCAGTCAAAAAAGCATTTATCGGGCATTTTTTATATGCCAGGTACTATGTAAGGGCCAAAGCTACAAAGACAAAAAATGGAACAGTCCCTGTCCTCATGGAGCTTACATTCAATTGCAGGCAGGCAGGAGTATATATTATTTGTGAACAAAATAAATACTCAAAATCTGTCTTCATCTCCCCTCCATCCCTGTTTGAATGTAAACTCATTTAATCTAGGAATTATCTGTCTGAAAATAATGACCAAAAAAAAGGGCTGGATACCATATTTCAAGAAATTAAAAATAAAAATTGCTCAGAATTCTTAGAAGCAGAAGGCAAAGTCAAACTAGAAAAAACATACTAGTCACCTCCTGAAAGAAACCCCAAAATTAAAGCATCCACTGTTGAGGTTTAGGGGTACTTGAACCCCAAAATAGCAATGCAAGTCATGCCTCAAATGAATTCAACCCAAGCCTTCTTTCAGCCAAAGACAAGGTTTATTAAGAACACCAATCAAGGGTGAGTGAGATTTTAAGAATCCACGCTATTGGCCTGATTTTAAGAATCTGAGCAATTTAGTGGGGGGCAAGATGGACCTTATATACAGAAAGACTGTGGGAGGATCTAGGAGTAGCCTGTAGGCTGGGGTGACTGTGAGGTAACAGAGAAGGACAAGGACCCAGACCACATGGCCAAGGGAGAATGGAGTCTAGATAGAATTAAGGGTGAGGTAACAAACAATGAAGGACTGCGCTAGGTTAGAGGTAACAGAACTGGGAGATTGGGTTTAGCCATAATGAAAGGTCAGTTGGGTGGATTACTAGAATGGGTTGATGCCTCAGGCGAACACCAGAGACTTGACCACGTGGGAGAAGGAGAAAACTCCCGGAGAGCTCAAGGAGGGATGGGAGGGTTTCCCAAGGCTCATAGTCCATCACCAGGAATATCATAGTCAGAAGCCAAAGCTTCCGTGTCATAAGAAAAATACTACAAGTATCCAAAAAGAGTTCAGGTAGCAAGGAGACACAGCAGGGATCACACAAAATTTGCCAACTACCATCATAAAGGAGAGGGGAGCTTGGGATCCAATATTACAAAAAGCAAAATATAAAGGCATAAAACCAAGAATAACCTATCTAGAAAAACTACAGAGGAAAATGTTAGTGATAGGGAATTGACAGGCAAGGAACTCACTGTCACATAACAAATGAAAATGAGTAGGAAGGAGTAGGGGAACTGGCATCCCATAAACCTCACTTTCATCTGAACTTAACAAAAGAAGATCAGACACAATTACATTTACATTTAAAGACCAAATAATAGAAACAAAGGGAGGGCAGGGACAAGGGAGGGAGAGATCTGGGTTTAAGAGGAAGGATAGAGTGGGTAACAGAATAGTAATAAACAAAACAAACTCCAATGTTGGAGAGAGGAACCTCAAGGGGAGATTAAAAAGAAGGGAAGAAAATGTAAAATCTTGCCATCAGGGAAGAGAAGAGGGGCAACAGAATGGGAACAGGCCACTTTGTTTCTAGATCATGTGACATACAAACACCTTGCCTTTTATTTGTAAAAAGGAGAGGGGGCAGGGAGGAGTAAAGAAAGAAAAGGAAAAATACAGGAGGAGAAGATGGAGGGAAATTTTACAATTAACAACCATAACAGTTATCATGAATGGGGAGAATCCTTAAGATGCAAGAGGATAGCAGAATGAATTAGAAAACAATCCAGTGATACCATCTCCCTAGATATGGAGCCTCGGTGTCCAACTTGGATCCTCACTCTTTCCTCTCTCCGCCCCCATTGTCAATCTTCGGGCTAGGCCTACTGATTTCACCTTTGTACCACCTCTCAAATATGCCTTCTCTCTGACATTGCACCACCCTGGTGCAGGCCTCTATCTCCTCATACCTGGACTATTGTAAGAGCTTACTGGTTGGTCTGCCTGCCACTTCTCTCCTCATTCTAGCACATCTTCCATTCAGCTATCGAAGTGATCTAATTAAAGCACTGCCCCCTACTCAAATTCCTGTGGCTCCCCATCATTTCCAGAATAAAATATAAAATCCCATCATTCAAAGCCCTTCTTAACCTAGCTCCCTTCTCCCCAACCTTTCCTGTTTTCTTTCACCTTTCATCTTTGTTTTTCCTCTAACAAGACACACCAGCTCTCAGCTCCAGGCATTTTCACTGATTATGCCCAGGCAAAGAATGCTCTTCTTCCTCCTGGATTCCCTGGCTTCCTCAGAGTTCCAGCTAAAATCCTGTCTTCAATAGGAAACTTTTCTCAATTCCTTTTAATTCTAATGTCTTCCCTCTATTGATTATTTCCTGGGTATCCTGCTATGGCAGTTGTATATAGTTGTTTGCATGTTGTCTTTGTGAGTTCCTTGAGGACAAGGGCTGTCTTTTGCCTTTCTTTGTATCCCCAGCACATAGCACAATGCCTAGCCCATAGTAGGGATGTAATAAATGCTTACTGACTCACTGATCAACATAGAGTTAAAAGGAGGGCCTGGAACAAAATCTATTTTGCCTCTACTAACTCAAAAGAGCAAGTGTAATAAGATTTCAGATAAGGCTATGTAGAAAGATAAATATGATTTTTAAAAAGATAAGCAAGAAATTACATTATGGCTAAAGGCCCCATGGAAAAGGAATCAAGGGGGCAGCTAGGTGGCACAGTGGATAGAGCACTGGCCCTGGAGTCAGGAGGTCCTGAGTTCAAATGTGACCTCAAATACATAACACTCACTAGCTGTATGACCCTGGGCAAGTCACATAACCCCAAGTGCCTTACCAAAAAAAAAAAAAACAAAAAAAAAGAAAAGGAATCAAAATTAATTGATATGCATACACCAAATAGCATAGCATCTAAATATTTAAAGAAAAAAACAGCTAATCAAATTGGAGAGAGTAATAGATAGCAAAACTATGATAGCAGGGGACCTCAGGGTGCACCTTTTAGACCTCAGCAAATATAACCCAAAAAGCAAATAGGAAGTTAAGGACTTAAATAGAAGTTTAGAAAAATCAGAGACAATAGATCTCTGGTGAATACTGAATGGGAATAGAAGGAAATTACATATTTCTCAGTATTTGGCACCTTTACTGCAGTATTGCAGCATAAAGACCTCACTAAAAATGTAGAAAAGCAGAAACACTAAACATATCATATACTGATCACAATGCAATGAAAATTATATCAGTAAAGGGTCTCTGAGAAAAGAATTAAAAAGTAATTGAAGTGTAACAGAATAATTCTAAAGAACTGGTGGGTCAAAGAATTATGGAAACAACAAAATTTCAACAAAGAAAATGACAATAATGAGACAGGTACCAAGACAGGGGATTTAGCTAAAGCAGTTCTGAGGTTAATATGTATATTTAAAATGCTTTCATCATTAGAAAAAGAAAATAAATCACTGAGTTGGGCATTTAACTGAAAAAAAACACAAATCAAAACCTAGGCAACATGGTAAAATTTCTGAAAATTGAAGAAAAATTAAATAAAATAAATAAATTGATAAATCTAGGCATTGTTTAAAAAATTAATAAACAATATACTTAGAGAATCCTAGAGAATCAAGTAACTACTTGAAATAATAAACAACCTTAGCAAAGTTGCAGGCTATAAAATAAACCCACATAAATCTTCAGCATTTCTATATATTACCAACAAAGCCCAACAGCAAGAGATAGAAAGAGAAATTCCATTTAAACTTACTGTAGACATTATAAAATATTTAGGAGTCTACCTCCCAAACAAACCCAGGAACTCTATGAACACAATTACAAAACACTTTTCACACAAATAAAGTCAGATCTAAATAATTGGAAAAACATCAGTTGCTCATGGGTAGGCCGAGCTAATATAATAAAAATGACAATTCTACCTAAGCTAATTTACTTATTCAGTGCCATACCAATCAAACTTATTTTATAGAGTTAGAAAAAATAATAACAAGATTCATTTGGAAAACAAAAGGTCCAGAATATCAAGGGAACTAATGAAAAGAAATGCAGGGGAAGGTGGCCTAGCATTCCAGATCTTAAATTGTATTATAAAGCAGCAATCATCAAAACTGCTTGGTACTGGCTAAGAAATAGAGTGGTGGATCAGTGGAATAGGTTAAATATGCAAGACACAGTAGTCAATGACTATAGTAATCTATTATTTGATAAACCCAAAGACCCCAGCTTCTGGGATAAGAACCACTCTTTGAAAAAAACTGCTGGGAAAACTGGAAAAGAATGGCAGAAACTAGGCATAGACAAAATCTCACACCATATACCAAAATAAAGTCAAAATGGGTTCATGATTTAGATATAAAGGCTGATACTGTAAGCAAATTGGGAGAGCAAGGAATAGTTTACCTATCAGATATATGGAGAACAGAAAAATTCATGACCAAACAGGAGATAGAGAACATTACAAAAAGCAAAATGGATAACTTTGATTACATTAAATTGAAAAGTTTTTGTGCAAACAAAGCTAATGCAACCAAGATTAGAAGGAAAGGAGAAAATTGGGAAAGAATTTTTACAACCTGTGTCTCTGAGAAGGGA